CCAGAATTAAGGTAATTTGAGTTTGAAGGACCAAACTCTTTATAAGGAGGGGAGACTGTGACAACCCTCACCACTGTTTACTGATAAACTACTGATTACTGTTAAACTGAGACTGATTGTGATAATTGACTGAAATCCTTAACTGCTTGATTGCCTGTATCTGTTTAAGTGCATTTCTATCTGTTCGACTGTTAAACTATCTGTTCACATTTTATGTTTAAACTGCAAATTGAAGGCCTTATCAGCGGTCGAACCAGAAATGGATTAGTGTTATGTGATGATTAGAATTTATAGGATTTTATGGTATAATTACTTGAATTTGGATTTGGTATGATTAAATTAGATTAAAATAAGTTAAATTACACAAGTTGCCTTATTTACCATATTGCCATGTTAGAGCATCTTCAACGGTAGTAGGCATTTTACCTATCTGAATATTACTATAAAGTATATATTTTATTTTACCTATCAACTGTTTTCTGTTTTTACTCCAACCATGCTCTTTATTTTAGCTATTTATCTAAATACTATTAATTTTATAGAATGCCACGTCAACAACAAAGATGGAGGGAAATGATCCTAATGATTGAATACATTTTGCCTAGCGTTAAAGGCTAGCTACATGTAGCTAGTGAATATGAGTTGAGCCAAAATGCCTAATCATATGCCTAGTGCATTGGAATTGAAAAAAGTGAATCACACTAGGCATTTTAACTAACAAGTATTATATGCCTAGTGCATTGGAGATGCTCTTAGTGGACCATTTAGGCAATACCTGTTGAGCCTTATTACATGCAAACACAACATTTTTTCAGCCCATTCTTGTGATCATAGCCGACTAGAGAGAGAGAGATAAGAGAGAGCTTGTTTCCATCTCAAATTGGCTTAGAGACTTGGAGAATTGGTAGAAGATTTGCAAAATTGAGCTTCTAGGCTTTGAATTAGAGACCTAAGGTAGAGAATTCAACCTCTCTTTGATGTATTTGTGTGTTGTCTTGCATGATCCACGAGAAATTAGAGATTTTAGCTAAGAGTTTGTTTATAATGTTGAATTGTAGCATATATCATGCATGCATGTCTACATTGTTGCATTTTGAGGTTGATTACATGGAATTTGGTACATGCATGTTCATATTATTGTTATAGTTCATGTTTTCATCTTGTTTTTGGAAGTTGAGGCTCATTTGAGCAAGCAATTGAAGCTTTGAATTGGTTTAAACTCATGCATGTCATGTTTGAGTTATGTTCATGAAAATTGGTTTGAAATTGGATTTAATTGAACTACCTTTGGGCTTTGATTTCTCAAATTGATCTTTGAAACATGTTATATTATGAGTTTTGAAGTGTTTTCCAGAAAATTAGCCCAAAAGGATCGAATTTGGTACATTGAAACTTGTTTTTGAACTTGAGGTTCAAATCTGGAAATTCCAGATTTTGGACTCACACTCGAGCGGAGTGACTGGCGCTCGAGTGTGAAATTCGTGCATCCAGCACTTTACACTGTTTTACAGTCCGCTCGAGCGGGGTATTAGACGCTTGAGCGAGGACTTGTGTCACACGCTCGAGCGGGTATCAAGCGCCCAATCGAGCGTGATTTTCACACATCCAGTACTTTTGGCATGTTTTACAGTCCGCTCGAGCGTGGTAACTCGCGCTCGAGCGGGACCTCTATTTTCTAAAAATTCTGAAAATGTTTTTAAAGTGCATCTTTGCATTCTCATTCCATTCTAGGCATTCTTAGGCCTGGTTTAAGGCATCTTAATGAGGATATTGATGTAGAACCACACCAAGTCAAGATAGGGATTAAGTTACTATTTTCCCAACTGTGTAGCTTAGTGTGTGTTCACTCTGTAACTGTGTAGGGTTGGCATCCGAGGACGCGTACTAGCTTACCTGTAGCCTAGAACTCTGTGAGTAACAATGTTGTAAGGATATGTTCAAAGATGAATATTTTCTGAATGTTTTACTGAACTGCTTTCTGAATTGATACTGTTAACTAAATGAATATATGTCCTCTATTCTAAACTGTATTGTGGCATCCATAGCAATCACTGTTACTGCTACTGTTACAGAGATCTTTGTCAGTTCCTATCTTGGAACTTCTGTTTATTGTTACGATGGCCATCATTGACTGTTCGGTCTTTCAAGACCTACTGTTTACTGTACTGTTCTGCTATTGGATGTACTACATATGACTGTTATGACTGATACACTGAATTAATCGACTATTTTCTATACTGAAAGGACATTCATTCTTAACCTCTTTACGCATTATGTTATTCACTGGGCTTTAGCTCACTGCTCATATATATATGTAGGTGTACAAGCACCGGACCATTGCTAGAAGCGTCAGGGTAAACTCCAGTTTTGTTAAGCCAACCACCGTGCCTCACTGCGAGGTTCCAAGTCCTTTAAGCCAGGACTTTTGGGGTGTTTTAGTTTCCCCCTTTTTGTATCTGTGTTTGTAATTACTGTATAGACTGAATGATGTTGTACTGTACTGTTCTAATAGGGATTAAGTCCCTGTCCTGAATGATTGTATATATTGTACATACTGTTTTGGTACTGATTGTATATATATATACGAAAAGTCTTTTTGCATACAGACTGTCACAACTCATTGGACATCTTTTAATTACTGTTTTGGCTTCTGCCGGCCCCTGTACTCTGTATTACTGTTAAGCAGGCCTTCGGTAATCTTGGATTACTGGCCGGTTACGGTGCTAAACCCATAGGGGCGGGTTTGGGTCGTGACAATAATCCATATTATTCTTTGATCATAAACACAACGTGAATGTTCATAATGCAAAATATATATGACAACGTTCAAATCCATATATAAATAAATATGTATGTGCACAAACAAAATGTTGATGTTAATGTTAATGTTAACATCCAGAATAAAACAACACCTAAGTACGTAAAACCACATTTCACAATGGCTATGTGAACATAATCATAAAGTAATGGACAAAAATGTGGAAATTCACATTGATTTAATAATACAAAAAGGGACAATATATCAGTGTACCCGACTAGGGCACACGAAAAATAACTAATGTTGATTCTATTATTTGATTAATCTGTATTTCAATATTTTTCAAAATTTGCTAAGAATGCGAAGTTCACATCCATCAATAATGGATATACTATTTTGTACATAAACCATTGGGTTTGTATCGAAAATCGAAAATAACAATAATATAAATGTTCACAATGATGCATATTTTTATCATGGACTAATCATATGATAATGTTTTGTATTGTACATTATATTGCCTATGTGAATATTCACACCATGTATTTCTTATGTGAATTAGGGGTGCTCGCAGATCGGATTTGTGCGGTTTGCAGTTCGATTTTGATCCGCTCGCATTTATGCAGTTTAGGGAAAAGCCAAATCGCAACCCCGCAACTGCTTGCAGTGCGGTTTGCGGTTTGTGCGGATATGGTTTACGGATATGCGAGCGGTTTACGGATGTGCAGGCGGTTGTGGGCAGTTTGCAGTTTGAATTTTTTCTTTTAAAAATTGACATAGATATTGTGTAATTTTAACTCCACACATCTAAAAACCTAGCACTGAGACTGCTTACAGGTTGAATGGAATTGTCACTTATATCACCCATCAGTTTAACATCCATGATTTGCACAGTTTACATTTTGTAGTATGAGAGCATTGTGTTGATCAAACATAAAAACTAGTTCAAAAATTGGATAAATAAGTTTTAAAAAAAAAGTACTTTGAATCATTTAAATCATTAACCAAAGTGCAACTTATGTAAGACTAGAAGTCAATTAAGTAAAACAAATACAAAACATATAATGGAAGTTGTAAATTCTTCCAAGTAAATGAAAGGTCCAAGTTTTTCCAAAAATATATATATAGTGTGGGTAGTTGTCCCGTAAGTCGAAAAATTGAATTATTTTAAACCGCATCCTACCCTATTGTATTTGAGAAACCGCTAATACGTGTGCGGGTAGAGTCGGGTAGGGCGGGTTGTGCGGATCGGATAACCCTATGCCCAGCCCTAATGTGAATGGTTAGCTTTTATGTAAATTGTGAATATTATGACTATCATATGACAATGGTCTTGTTTTGACTATGAGAATTTTGCACACTATTATAACTTACAAATCCAAATCCTCTTTCAATAGTGAAAAAAAGCTTCCAACATGTCCTTATTTGGCCTCGTCATTGGAATCACTATAAGTCTTATTTATATCGTGGACTTTGTTCACTCTAAAAATGCTTGATTCAAGCATTGCTGTCAATTTTTTTTTTCCTTTTTCTTTTTTTTGCTACTTCTAATCATATATATATATATACACACATATACTCAGAAACACTATATGAGTATTGTGTAAGATTTGTGAATTGATTTCACTAATCAATTTTGAAGGCAATATGATTGTTGCTTTTAGTGGGTGTTGGTTTGAAACCCATTGTTGTATTTGATGGGTGTTGGTTTGAAACCCAAAACAGAGATAAAAGAGAGAGAAACCTAGAAGACACACAGGGTGTTGGTAGGGGTGATTTGGTCATATTACTAACTATAAGGAATATTAAAAAATGGAATGGGCTAGATAGAACATATGCCTTAGAAATGAGATTTACTAAAAAATACTTTAATATTAAAATTCATCAACATTTATATTTACATTTTGGTCATTTTATTTCATTGTTAATAATATCACATATATTCAATGAAATTAAAAAAAAAGGAGCAAAAATCATCTCTTCATATATGGTACAACATTGTCCGTTTATGAATTAACCATTTTGGTTAATTTTTAATTTTTTACAAGAAAAACATGCCAAAAAGTAAATAAAATGATATGACAATTTATAGTAAATTTTTAGTTTTCAGTTGTTTTCTCTCATTGTCAAACAATAACAATTAATTCCATTTTTTCTTTAGAAAGGTGAAGGTTATAGTTGTAATTGAACTCGTCCAAAAGGGCCAAAACGAAAAACAAACCCAACCCAAGTACTTGGATGCAATTTAACTAAAATCAATATAAAACCCTAGAGCCTCCTCCGTCCCCATTTCGATTCTAGGGTTTGTGTGTTTTGGAGTTTCGTAAGGTGTTCAGCAAACCAGAGCGGCGGCGACACTCTCCACACCACCGTCAACATGGGTCGCATGCACAGTCGAGGGTCAGCTCTCTCTCTCTCTCTCTCTTTGTGGTTGGTCAAAAGGATCCAATTTTTGTGATTTTTATAGTTTTTATGTTATTTGAAATGTTGCAGTAAGGGTATATCAGCTTCAGCTTTGCCATACAAGAGGACTCCACCAAGTTGGCTTAAGATCTCTTCTCAGGATGTATGGAACCTTGAATCCTCTTATTGCAGTACATTTTTTTAACTATATGATTGAATTTGTATTTATGATCTTAAGCTGATGAAACTCTAGGATGTCCTTCTGGTTTGAAACCCAGAAGGAAAAAGTACAAAAAAATTATACCTTTAGGGGTTTACAGTCTTTGGATCAATATGGAAACTGATTTAGCTGATTGTGTTTTCTTTATGGTTTGTTCTATGAAATCTTAATAATTTATGGCGGTCTTTTTTTTTGGGTATTGGTTTTTATTTTATTTTAAGACTTTTTTTTAGGGTAATGACATCCTTCTTCAAATGCATTATACACCTACAAATCTATGTGTTCATATCATCCAAGCTGAACTAAATATATGTTTTGCTTTAAATCTGTTTTCTGTTTTCTTTTTTTTTTGGCTCAGTTTTTTGTGACAATTAAACAGAACCTTAATGATTTTCTTATGGGAGTAGAAACCCAGTCTACTTTTTTTAGAGTTGGAATTCATTTTTTTCCATCATTACGATAACGAGCATGAGAACTCATGTATTATATCAATCTTCCTGGGCATTTCATCTTACAGTGCAAATGACTAATGACTATCGATGGCGCTTCTTCATTTTTCCAGTCTGAACATCCAAATATAGACTACAAAAGTTTTTTCTCTATTTTTTCCCCTTTTCATTTCTGAATATTTTTTTGTGTTTTTCATTCTCTCTTCAAAAACTCCCTAAAATATTAAATGTTCTTATTGCATCTACGAATTTGTAAATGATTTATTTCCTTCCTTTTTTCGTCCCCAAGGAATAGAAGTAGAATTTTGCCTTTGATGTAGGTTGAACTTATTCCCAATGAATTGCACTCTTGGTCTGTTTACAAGTTAACTCTTTTATTTTCTCCTTCACCAAATAAAACCCCAAGTTAAATGGATATTTTCCTTTTGTTCATTAAACAAAGCCCCTAATGTGTTAAGTCAGTTTTATATTGATTAAAGTCTCGTTTGGCAAGTGATGATTTTAGCTAAGAAGTCAAAAAATCACTAAAAAAATAAAAAAGCCAACAACTTATACCAAAGATTCTCTTTTCTCTATACTTTTTGCACATCTTTTTCGTAAAAAATCAAAAAGTTATCCCAAACATATTAGTTTTTTTTCATTATATTTTAGCTAAAAAGTCAAAAAGTTATTTAAAAGCCTGTTCACAAACAAGGTCTAATAAAGGCCGTACGATTGAATTTGTATTTATGATCTTAAGCTGATGAAACTCTAGGAAACCAGAAGGAAAAAGTAAAAAAAGAATTATACCTTTGGGGGTTTACAGTCTTTGGATCAATATGGAAACTGATTTAGCTGCTTGTGTTTTCTTTATGGTTTTTATTATTTTATTATTTTTTATTTTTTATGAAATCTTAATAATTCTATGGCAGTCTTTGTTTTTGGGTAGTGGTTTTTAATTTATTTTAAGTCTTTTTTTTTTTTTAGGGTAATGGCATCCTTCTTCAAATGGATTATACACCTACAAATCTATATGTGTTCATATCATCCTAGCTGAACTTCATAAATATCTTGCTTTGAATCTGTTTTCTGTTTGTGTTTTGCTCAGTTTTTTGTGACAATTAAACAGATTCTTAATGATTTTCTTATGGGAGTAGAAACCCAGTCTATTTAATCGGTTTTATGTAGTTTTTTTCCTTTTATCTCTTAAGAATTAGTGTTTGGTTCTATGATATGTAAGACTGTTTTCCTTTTTAACAATTTGCATTTGTACACCTGTCTCACAACGACCCCTTGTATCCTACTCTTGTTAGAGTTGGAATTCATTTTTTTTCCCATCATTACGATAACGAGCATGAGAACTCATGTATTATATCAATCTTCCTGGGCATTTCATCTTACAGTGCAAATGACTAATGACTATAGATGGCACTTTTCATTTTTCCAGTCTGAACATCCAAATATGGACTATGAAAGTTTTTTCTCTATTTTTTTTCCCTTTTCATTTCTGGATATTTTTTTTTGTTTTTTTTTCATTCTTTCTCTTCAAAAACTCCCTAAAATATTAAATGTTCTTATTGCATCTACGAATTTGTAAGTGATTTATATCCTTCTTTTTTTCGTCCCCAAGGAATAGAAGTAGAATTTTGCTTTTGATATAGGTTGAACTTATTCCTAATGAATTGCACTCTTGGTCTGTTTACAAGTTAACTCTTTTATTTTCTCCCTCACCAAATAAAACCCCAAGTTCAATGGATATTTTCCTTCTGTTCATTAAACAAAGCCCCTAATGTGTTTAGTCAGTTTTATATTGATTAATAAAGGCTGTACCCATTTCACAAGGCCCTTGCTTACGTTATGGTTTTCACATTTTATACTTTTGAACCTTAAGTTTGGTTTCTATTTTTCAAGTTTTTATTGAACATTCTTTTTATCGATTTATCTTCCAGGTTGAGGAGAACATCTGCAAATTTGCCAAGAAGGGTATGACTCCTTCTCAAATCGGTGTTATTCTCCGTGATTCTCATGGGATTGCCCAGGTGAAGAGTGTCACAGGAAGCAAGATTTTGCGTATTCTCAAGGCCCATGGTACATCTATTTCATCATTCTATTACCGTTTTGAGTTTTCTATTCTGATATGAAGATAGATGGTGAGTTGATTCCTTGTTTTCTAATAATTGAAAAGGGCTTGCTCCTGAAATACCCGAGGACCTCTACCACCTCATCAAGAAAGCTGTTGCGATCCGGAAGCATCTGGAGAGGAACAGGAAGGATAAGGATTCCAAGTTTAGGTTGATCTTGGTTGAGAGCAGGATCCACAGACTTGCACGCTACTACAAGAAGACAAAGAAGCTTCCACCTGTCTGGAAATAGTAAGTTTCCCGTATCTTTTTAACTTTGATTTTTAACAATATTGGTTGGCATTCATCTCTTGTAGCGTATTGTACAATGTGACTCTTAGAAGATCACTTTTTGTCGGGATCTAATATTTATTAGTTTGGAAGTGAGTTCATATCTCTGTTATTAGAATCGTAAAATTCGATTTTGGTGGGTAATCGATACGAACAAGTTGTGTGAATTGCAAATAGCTTTGAATTGTAGCTGAATCGGTGAATCGATTCAATTCGTTAAAATCGATGTTTGGCTTTCTTTTTTAGATTTTTATTGTTGGAAAAGGGTTCACAAAACTTTTTTAAGGTCTTTAGGATTATTTTATGCTATCTTTTAACTTTCTCCTTTGCTATTTACTCTCAAATACTCAATCGTTAGTGGAAAAAAATGAACTTTCTCTCTCTATAATATTCTAGACTTACATATTCAATTTTATTTAAGTACCTGCATTTACAAAATGAATTTTTTTGAGGCATCAAAAAAGTTTTTTGAAAAAGTTTGAAGATTTTGGTTTTTTAACTTTCTAAAAAGTTAAAAACATTGTTGTTGAGTCATTGTTACTTGAAAATTAAAAGTTTGTCTTTGTTTGCTTTCTTTATTAAGAATGGTTGATAAGAAATAGTATCTAAAAGGGAAAAATTGAAGTGTAAATCAGGGAACCCATGTTAACTTCTTACCCAAACAACATGATCATAATTTTAAAAAATATTTTCATTGATTTAAGTCTAAATATTTCATATTTATTAGATATTTAATATCTAATTTTATAAATATATTTTTCTATGTAATTAAAAAATAGGTGACCGAATCTTTACGATTCATGATTCGGTACAATACCATTTCGATTCACGATTCAAATCTCGATTTGACAACTGTGGTTCATATAATTAAGTGTCCCCAGTACAGAGGAAAAAAATTTGTTCCTTGCAACTTTATATAATAATTTCAAATGTAAAGAGTGAGTAATATAAATTTTTTAGTTTTCCCTGTACTTTGAGCTTATCTGTGGGCCTTAAATTATCTAATCCTCGACATGATGTATGTAATGTGACTCTAATATGATAACAATGGCGAGTGAGATATAAAATAGATGAGCTAAAAGATACTCTGGTTGGTCAATCAATCAGACGAAAGCGACGGCAAATGTGTATATTGTCAGTTTGAACCTGGAATAATCCTACTTTACTCGTCTATTGTTGTGTACGTTTGGGAGCTTTGCTCAATTAATTTAAAAGTAGCTCTTATTGGTGGCACTGAGAAGAGAAACGTTTTTGTTGTCTGCCTCATTCTCTCTCTTTTTTGCAACGTGGTTGTCCTCTTCTTTTTGGCACTAACACTAGATCATTCTTTATTTGCAGCGAATCTACCACCGCCAGCACTCTTGTTGCTTAATGAAGATAGTTTGTAATACTAGTGGGTTTTGTAATTCACTATTCAGTTGGATGAGCAAGACCTCAGTTTTTTTCTTCAGTATTTTAGATGTATTCTGCTTCATAACTAGGATGTTTTCCATGAAAACCAGTGTTTGGTTGTTAAGGGAGGACAAGAGAGTATTTGATGTTACGAATTATTCCAACTTTTGTTTGTCATTTGTTCTTTGCAGAGAGATTCTTAAATTTGAATGACAATCGGCTAATTACAATTAAGCATCACTTCCACCTTTTGTTTTTGATTTATTATTGTGGACTGTAATTTCAGAATGAGAAAACTTGTCCAAGAGTCAAGGTAAATACTACTAGGGACTTTTTAGAGTTATTATTGTTGAGATATTCAGAATGACTACTTTGTGCCATGTTTTGGACAACTTTTGTGTGCATTTTGTAAAAAGCAAACCCTTTTGTTACAGTCATAGAGACGATGACAAGTCTGGATCTGGATCCTTTGTAGTGTGTAGTGCACTTTGTAGTGTGGCATAACGTTTAGGTGCATAAAAGAAAATACAGAGAGAAGACAGAGCACTGTCAGCCCAAAATGATGACCCACCTCCGGCCATTGCCAACTGACCTTTATTGCCCCTCCTTCCTCTTCTTCTTTGTTGCCTCAAACCCCTCCACCCTTGCAAAGACCGGCAATGGTGAGAGTTCGAGAGTGGGAGGCGATGGCGGGGTTGGCGGAGGGGCTGGGAATGGGTTGGGGTGGATTGTTGGAGTGAGGGGATGATGGTGTCAAGTTGGTGGGGGTGAGGGAGGGTGGTCGAGGGGATTGTTGGGGTGGTGTCTTTTTTCGCGGGGGGAGGGGAGAAGGATTGTCGGAGAGCAGGCGGTCTATCCTGCGTGGGTCTACAGTCGGGTTGGTTCTCAGTTATTTAATATTTTTAAAAGCTTTTTTTAAGGACTGTTGCTTCTTTTTACACACTGATGTTCCAAAGGCTTTGGGTGACTTTTTTGTCTCCATATTGTTGTTTGTCCATAAAACTAGAACAGAGGTCAGATCTAAGCCATTATTTGATTAAGAATACAGGCCCATCCTACTTTTCTGGCAATCAACTTTTAATACCCCTGAATCCAAACAACAATGTAGATCATGGATTTATGTGGAGGGAGTGAAAAAAGAAAAGAAAAAGTAGTAGAAGAAAGAAACTACTTCCTTTCTTTTGTTACTCCTTTTTGTTAGGATTAAGGAAATAATTACACATGAACAATCTTATTTCCATTTTTATTTTCTGTTCCTTAGGTTCTATTCATATTAAGAATTTGAGAGATTTACGGAAGAAAATGATTCCTTTCCCTTTCTTAATTCCTCTCAAATCTCTAATTCAAACAAAGTTTTAGGTTGTGTTTGAATTATTAGTAAGTATAGGAATTTCGAATGGAAAAACTAAGGTAGTGTTTGGTAGAGTTTTAGAATTTTGATTTGAGAATAAAGCTATATTTTGAGTTTGTGAGTTTTGAAATTATGATTTAAAAAAAGAAAATTTGTTTGGTTATGAGTTTTGGAAAGAGTTGAACTTTTGAAATTAAAAAAGTTGTTTGATTCAAAAACTTACAATTCATAACTAAACACACAATTTAAAATTCTAACTAAACACAGCACTTAAATCAAGGTGTGGAATCAGGTTTCCAAAGCTACACCAAACGTAGCCTAAAAGAGTGAGTAAAATATGAATAAAATATAATTACATTTTACGTACATTTTTCCTTTCTTTTTTTAAATTTCTATCCAAATTCACAAACTAAACCCAATATTCAATAATCCAAAATCAAGAACAGTGATGAGAGGGAACCAAGCCCAAAAGCGATGAGAAGACAAAGAACAGCTATGCATCAACTAAGAAAAAAGATGTTTCTCTCTGTGCATTCATGCTTACACAGTCTGAAAATACTTTCTCATTTTTTCTGCTTTCTCGTGAGGTTACAAGTTCTCTTGTGTTTTGGTGGTGCATGCTTTTCCCATGATGTGCTAAGTAGCTCATGTTTTTTTGTGTTTCGTGTCCTCTTGTTTTTGTTTTTATCAACAAATATAACAAAAAAAAAAAAAAAACAATTTTGTGATGAGATTTATATGTTTGAATTGTAATAAAAATTCTTAGGGGTGGGTCTTGGCTAATGAAAAGTGAACATAAACAAATAAGAATTCTGAAATGACCTTTTTACTACACGATCATGTTAGGGCATCTCTAATAATGCATTAATTTTTCATTAAATTTGAATAAAAATTTAAGTAAAAACTTCTTTTGATATCAAGTGCTCTAACAGAGAGTTTTGTTATTTCATTAGACCACTGGTCCACTAGGCTGACGATCGGCCAGTGTAATATTTTCACAAATTTTTGCCTTGAGATGATTCTCCAGTAGACATTCGGTGGTAAAACAGCAATGAACAATGATTTGATAAAAAATACATTGGTTCTTAGTTTGATAAAAGAAAAGAGAAAAAGTAAATTTGATGAACTGTTGGAGTAGCAAGAAGGGCTTTTTCTCATCAAATTTAAATGTGATGAAACATTTAATAAAATGTTAGAGATGGTCTTGGAGAGATTGATTGTGTAATAAAAATATGGCTCGGCATATGGGACAAGAAGGGTTGGGATAGAGGATCCAATCTCATTTACATGTCGGTCTTGACATTTTTTGGCCAGGTTAGGATGGGAGTTGGTTTTCAAGTCACTTTTTAGCTTTTTTTTTTTTAGAAATTAAAAAAATTAATGTGTTTAAAATATTGTTAAAAGAATTATTTTTTGTGCGTGAAAAAATTAAAATTACATTTGGCCTTTTTAATTGATGATAAATAATTTTTTGATTTTTTGCGATTTTAACTTTTTTAGGCAAATATCAAAATGCCCATTACTTATCACCTTTTATTTTAAAAATTTGTATTAAATATTTAGTGTAATTTTTATTTTCAATTTAATAGATAAAATAAGTTAAATAAATTGAAAAAAAATGAGTGACAAAAAATTAGAGAGGGAATTATTAGCTTCTAGTATGAAAAATGAAAAAGAAACTTGCACCAAAGAATATTATTTGCTATGGCCTAGGTTTGGTGAGTAGATGCATTATTATCCCAAACAGATGAAAATGAAGAACAATTTTTAACAAGTTGGGTTTTAGCTTCTTTTTTGTAAAAAACTAAAATCTAAAAAGTTGGGTTTTAACTTTTTTTTTTTAAAAACAAAAAACTACAAAAAAAAAAAAAAGAAAAAAAAGAAGAAGATAAAGTGTCACATTAAATACATAATTATTTTATTTTTTCTCTCATAAACATTACATCTAATTACAAAAAAAATTCAACAATTTTCTCAAATACAAAAAATTTAAACTACTAAAATAACTTATTAAAATAATTAACTTTTTAAACGAGACCTTTGTCTCACTCAAATGGATTTGGTTGTGGAAATAATCAAATCATCAAAGGCTATATATAGTAAGATAAAATATTATATTAAATTCATAATTATTTTATTTTTTTTCTCACAAACATTACATCTAATTATCAAAAAATTTAACTATCTTCTCAAATAAAAAAAATTTAACCTACTAAAATAACCAAAAATTAAAACAACATATTAAAATAGCCAACTTTTAAAACGAGACCTTTGTATCACTCAAATGGATTTGGTTGTAGAAAGAATCAATTTATCAAAGGCTATATATATATATATAGAGTAAGATAAAATATTACATCAAATTTATAATTATTTTATTTTCTTTTACAAATATTACATTTAATTATAAAAAAATTCAATTATTTTTTTAAATACAAAAAAATTTAACCTATTAAAATAATTAAAAACTAAAACAACCAATTTTTAATACGAGGCCATTGTCTCACTCAAATGGATTTGGTTACGGAAAGAATCAAATCATCAAGGCTATATATACATATATGCAAAATGCTTAGGAGATTTAATTAGAACCATCATTAATGATGTGACAGTGGGTCTTACATACTATCACAATGTATGTTGTGTTTTGTTTTTTTTTTTATTTTAAATTTTCATCTCACTAATAGTGAATTTAAAACTCCTTATTTAGACTTCTAAATTATTGCTGATATATATATATATATATATATGGAGTGTGGATGATGAAAAAAAGTTGGAGAAAAAACAAACTGAAAAAGCTGGGGACAAAATTCCTTTCTTGGGTAAGGACAGCAAGGATGTGAGACTGTACTACAGAGTTCCTTCAAAACAGAAAAGTCTAAAGCCAGGTAGATCACCCCACATCATTCAACACTAGAAACAAGTCCAAGATTTTGAATGAGACTCCAAAGATATATTAGGTGAAGAGTAGGAAAAATTATTTTGTGACATGAAATAGTAATTATAGAAAAAGTGTTAGAAATTTATTTAAAATTAAGATCATATGGATTGGATTTAATAAAATGATGGTTCACAAAACATAAGTTTTAATATACACTACGCGATTATTTTTTGGGTAGATTTCATAATTAAAAATTTGGTTTGCATCTTTTATGTAAGGTGAGTTAATATTTTAATTTATTTTTTATTAATTAAAATAATGAGATTGACAACAACTTTTTATCTCTTCGAAAGGTAACTGAATTCTTTTTTAACTATAAATGAAATGAAACATGATCCAAAACTACCAGAAAAAGCATCTCTCGACAAGTTGGTTAAAAATTAATTTTTGACATTTTACTTTTTTTTAAAATCATATTAGTTTTATATTTTTCCTTGTACATTATTTTAAACAAAAGTAAAAAAAAATTAACTTTTAATTTATTTCCCAAAACAGACTAGCTCTAAGTTCAAAAAGGGGTCGCATTTTGTCGTTTTGTTATATGACAATATTTTCTTAGAATAACACTTGAGAGCTCGAAAATGAGCCCCTTAATCTCCCTAATCTCCAAAACGACGTCGTTTTGGGCATTAGGTTTTTTTTTTTTTTTTTCCTGCCATTTTTGTTCGACCTGCAGGGGAGGGGGAGGAGAGGGAGAGGGAGAGAAAGAGGGAGAGGGAGAGAAAGAGGTCGCCGTCGCCGTCGTCTCCGATCCGTCGCCGATCGCCGCGCCTCCGTCGTCGATCGCCATGCCTCTGCTCGTCGCCTCTGCCATCGCCGATACCCATTTTTTAGGCCCCCTACAGTCCCCCTCCCCCTCCTCCTCCTCTTCCTCCTCCTCCTCCCCCTCCGTCTTCTTCTTCCTTCTGCTGAAAAAAAATAAAAATAAATAAATTTCGAGAGATTAGG